AAGAATGCATATAAAGTAACAATCGTCAAGATGCTGCTCACACACACAAACACACACACACACACACGCAGCATAAACCTCGCGTGTAATAAGGAATAATGAGCCGAGCGACATACAGATCCGTGTTACACACACACACACACACACAGGGTTGCAGATTGGCAACGTTTGACTGGAATGTCTTGATGCATGTATTGTCCAGAGTTCTTTTCCATTATATATTTTAAATATGTTATTGTTTGGGGTGTAAAGAGATGAATCCCTCCCCTGTGTTCCAGCTCAATAAGGGATCACGGAATTCCATGTTTTCCAGACGGATTCACTTCACTCCTTCTCTAGCGCCCTCTGCTGGCCACTGTCAGTCCTGCACTGAGTCCATCATCATCATCATCATCATCATCATCATCATCCTCATCATCCTCCTCCTCATCCTCATCATCATCATCATCATCCTCATCATCCTCCTCCTCATCCTCATCATCATCCTCATCATCCTCCTCATCCTCCTCATCTCCTAGTGCGCTTATCGGATCAGTGTTGAATTATTCAGTGTATCTGGAGTAGAGCCCTGCACGGGCCTCAAATCTAGGCCCTAGCCCGGCCCTGCCCCGAGACGCTCAGGCCCTAGCCCGGCCCGTGTCCGACAGCTCAACAGAATGATCAGCCCGAGTCCGACCCGAGCCCGTAAAAAAAAAAAAGAAAAAAAAAAAGATAAACAGCCTGACCTATGTTGCAGTCAGTAAACCAACCAGATATATTTTGTTTTCAATGGCAAAGTATTTACCGGTAGGTTTATTTTCATTTCTTTATAAAGTTAATTAAGAAAAAACAAAAAACAAAATTTATGACGACCAAGCAGCCGACAGCGAGTTAAACATGTTTGATCCATTGATTGATTTATAGCCTCTCAAATCAACACTTTACTTGGCTACAATAAAATCCATAGATATAAAACAACTTAAGCATATCACACAGACATTTAACGTTAGTTTAAACGTTTATTGTCATTTTTGAAAAGCTGAGGCAAACTGCTCTGCTGCTCAGTCGCAACAGCGCTCGCAAACTAAATGAATTTATAATATAGGCTACAATACAGAGAATGCAATCTAAACAAATCAAATAAATTACATTAAAAACAAACATGCAGGTTATCTTACCTCAAAAATCAAGTCTTCACTACAGAACATGGCCATTTCCAATAGTTTCCAACAGACTCATGAAAATAAAGTCCAATCAAACAAAAAACAACCTCCTCCTAACATGGCTAAGAACAGTCTCAGAGCATCGTGAAGAAAAAGCACAGCATCCACAGTGGAAGGTTTTAATCCAGTCGTACTTTTTCCAGCTGCGCTGAAGTCACGCTCGCTACCATAGCGGGACACTAGAACGAGCCGGTCGCGCGAATCTCAGATCGCGCCGCCGGGAAACCTGTGTGTGTGTGTGTGTGTGTGTGCGTGAGCGTGAGCATGAGCAGACTGTCATGTGTCAGTCTTATGTCAGTGTGATAGGTTATAAAACGTCTTTCTATGTTTGCTTTTCAATCGTCATCTTCTCATGTTTTATTTTAATTAATGTCTAAAATAGGCTATAAAAAAGATAAGCCTAAAACAGGCCCGAGGCCCGGCCCGCGTGTGAACTATGACGTGAAAATTGGCCCGAAGCCCGGCCCTAGGAGCATAAATAAGTCGGGGCCCGTCGGGCTCGGGCTGAAATGCAGGCCTCTAATCTGGAGATTGTGTGATTTTAAGATTTGGTGTGTATAAATTCCTCACAAGTAACGAGTCCCTTAACTGGTTAACTAGTGCGCAGTTTTTCTCTCTGACACATATTAGTAATCATCATAAATTAGGTATCATTACCTTAAACACTCAAATTTCACCCTGTCAGGACTGTTTGAAATAGAGCTCAACAGTCGGTTCAGACGCCAAAAATCCATACATTTTCTCCATAAGGAAATTGATTTTTACCAATAACTTCTAAAGCTTTAAAGCCAGCCCTTCTGCAAGCTAACACTGGTAAACATGACTCTGTGCTGAAGTCAATACTACAGAAAAAACTATGTAATTTACATGGAAAAGTTAGTTCAGGAAATAATTTAAAAAACTAAGTAAATTCTATATTGGTACTCAATTCAAGCGTGTAGAAATGAAAGTGTAAATATCAACGTTATAAAATTAGGTAAAACTACTCAACTTTCCAGACAGTTCCCATCATGCACTGGGGCTTGAATAATTAATGAGGTGATTTTCCACTGTTTTCCAGCTGTATTTACAGTGTTTCATCAGTGCTTGTGTTGGCAGGATTAGTAACTGGCCATTTTGGGACATTTGGAGTTCAATTTCTACTCAAAATTACTCAAACACAAAAACAATCCATCAAATGTTTCCGTCATTGTGTACAAGTAATTCTCTGCGTTCACATGACGCGTAACTTCTGATATGTAGATACGGTGTCTCACACAATCTATTGTATTAATTACTTGTTAAGTAATGATGTTTCTAAGTAAAGCATATAAAAGTGTGGTTTAATTCAATGTTATATTGTGCGAGTGAAATGTATTGCAAAGGAAACTTCAGCTAAATAGATATTACTCAACCTTTTACTAGCCAAGTTAAAATTACTTATTTTCTTTGTTACTTTCACTTAACTTAGTTAAGTAGAGTTTACTTCCATATGTGAAATTTAATTTAAAAATATGCGTGTGAAATTTACTTAAAAAATATGCGTGCAAACCTTGCCAAAGAAAGAGTACATTTTACTTAAAAAATTACCGTTCTAACATTACTACATTTTTAATGTTTCTGAGAAATTTCTTCTGCTCATCTAAGCTGCCTTTATTTTTATAATAAATTCAGTAAAACAGTGAAATATTATTCCAGTGTAAATCAGCTGTTTTCTATGTGAATATACAGTAAAGTGTAATTTATTCCTGTGATAAAGCTGAATTTTCAGCATCATTACTCCAGTCTTCAGTGTCACATGATCCTTCAGAAATCACTCTAATATGATGAACAGGGGCCGTATTCACAAGGAATTTTAAGGCTAAAAGTAGCTCCAAACTGGTGAATTTAGGAGCAACTCCTAAAAATAATGGGCGTGTCACTCCTAACTTTAGGACTCCTAATTTTTTTCACTAAGAGTAATTCACGAAGCATTTTAGCCCTAAAAGTAGCACCTAAGTCTGGGACAGCTTAAAAGAAGTCGAGAGGACTCCTAACTCACTAAGACCGATTCACAGAGGATTGTAGCGCACACCAGCGCCTCTCGCAGTCGTCCGGGGTCCGTGACACAAGCGGGAATGCTGCATTGATCTGCAGACAAATCCTCTCCCATTCTCACGCTTAGTTTTGCTTGATATCCCAGTGCCGAATTTCCCTTTTATTATGTTTTTTTTTCAGCACCAGCTGGGCCAGCAGCAGTAACTGATCCTGCGTCCAGCTGGGCTTTCTTTTCCATTTTGGCGACTTCATAATCCACCGTCATTCAACTATTACATTACTTCAATAGGAGCAACATTTCCTTGCTTTAAAGCAGCACTCAGTAAGAATTCCGCCCGCTCCCCATTGAAATGAATGGTATCGTGTCGCTTTGTCGCTTGTAGTGTGAACGGGGCTTGAGGCATTCCTTGACCGGCGCAGCGCCACAGATCTAAAGGCTACCGCCCAAGCCATCGGCAGAGGCATGGCTAACCTCGTTGTGCTCGAGCGCCACCTCTGGTTAAACCTCACTGACATCAAGGACGCGGACAGAACGGCGTTCCTCGACTCTCCTAACTCCAGCACCGGTCTCTTTGGTCCGGCCGTGAAAGGATTCTCTGAGAGGTTCACTGAGGCACAGAAGTCTTCTCAAGCTATGAGACACTTCCCGCATAAACGCTCCAGTTTTGCTCCGAGCCGGCACAAGAGCACAGCCAGCGAAACCAGTGCCTCGAGTCTCCCAGCCCCGCCCTGCGGCTGACACCCGAAGTCGCTCAAGGTCAGCTAAGCGCAACCCGCCGCCTTGTGTTGGACCCTGAGCCGCCGAAGCTCTCCTAGCTGCGGGAGGAAAGAGAGAGGGTCTGAGTCTCGCGCTAGCCGGACCGCCCTCCAAAAGAACTCATCTGAAGCTCACAGCTCCCTGTTCAGCTCAGGCGGCTGGAGATTTTCACACTGTAGTCAATGGGCCCGTTGGGCTGCACGCGCCCCTACAAACAAACACTGTTTTTACAGCGACCCAAATAAAGCACAAAAAGAGTATGTTTCAAACACACAACACCAGGGTAACCGGTCCCCATGTATTAGCCCCCTCCCCAACATGTGCACAAAACACAACACAAGGGTATTAAGTTCCCCTATGCTAGGCGACCCAGCCCCGATATATGTTCAACCCCTAGCCACAAGGGCCCAGGCCTGGCAAGCCGATGTGTCAAACTGGGTTGTGAACATTATAAAGCGAGGCTACTCGCTACAATTTGCTCGCAGACCCCCGCGTTTTCAGGCGGTCATAGAGACCTCGGTGAGAAGCAGCAGAGTGGCTCACATGCTTCGCACCAAAGTGCAAAACCTACTAGAAAAAGGGGCGATCGAACCGGTCCCCCACACACTGAGTCGCTCAGGGTTTTACAGCCGTTATTTTCTTGTACCAAAGAAAGACGGTGGCACCCGCCCCATGTTAGACCTGAGACATCTGAACAAAGCCCTCATAACGCTGTAACGAATCACACAATAATAATATACATAAAATGTATTTAAGGGGGGCCGGAAGGCCAATTTAGCTCAAAAGGAATGATTCATCGATTTGCAATGAATCTTGACCGAATCACTATGGAACCGAGCAAATGACTCGTTTAGAGTTCATTTGAACGGGCCGTAATTATAACCTTGGCAACAGATATAAATATCCAATCTATAGTGAAACACTATGTATTAGCAAGGTAACTTTAGATCGACAGTACAAGACATTAAATGTGCAAGCACAACACAAGGCAAATATCTTTTCAAATATATTGACGACTTTATTAA